TTCATCACAAATTCAATACAATGGGATTGAAGTAACATCATCAAAAAGTTTGTATTAAGGCTAAGTTATTGATGGGAGTATTTGATTTACCTGCAAAAGCAGTAACAAAGACCAAACAAAATCAGAGTGCGTCATACAAAAAATTTAAATAACCATAGAAATGCCCTAGCAACAGAATATTGCTAAACAAAAGATCATGTGACCAAAAGGAGAAAGCCCTCTTGAACTTGAAACCATGCTAGTGAAATAGAGCTGATAAAGGCCTCAAAAAACATGCTTGAAGTTTGTCTGAACTACTTTCTTTTCGCCTGTTACGAGTTCAAGTTATTGATACGGGATATTTTGTTTCAATCAGAATAAGAGATCAGTTTTGCCATACAATGCTCTTCTTTAAAGGGAAAAATAAAGAGACTGTCAAGCCGTGTAGAAGTGGACCTGACTGTTAACAGTTTTTGTAGCGAGCTACAAAGCTCCGAATTGAGGCACCTACATGGATAACTTTTGTTTAATGAGCAGTGTTTAATACACTATAAATGTGAGTGAGAGGAGTTTGGAGGGATGTAGATTCTGTCTTTCTTTGTTCTCCTTTTGAGTGGAGGTGGTTCAAGGAATATTATTGATGGTAAGAGCTTTAAATGGTGATTTTGTAGCACCACTTGTAATCGTTCTACCCTATCCACCATATTATTACAGGCTCCTTTAGCATTGTTGAAGCTTCCATGGAGACTCTTTCAGCACCCTGATCCCTCATGCATCTACAGCCCACATTTTATCTCTTCATCCAGAGTACTACATGATCTTCCAACATGTGCATTTCTGGTGAAATAGATGCTTTTGGGAAGGACCGTCTATAGAATTCAAGGAAGGTGTCAATGGCTCATTGTATTAAATTGAAACTAATTTGATGTAGAGTTAAATGGTTATTAGCGTACTGTACCTAATGTATCAATTTCAGCATTTGTGAGCAAGGAACTGCTGTCATAAATTTTATGACAGGATTAAAAAGCGTAAAGACATGAACAAACTTGTCCAGTATGTCCTGTGCTTTTTGCTGTAAAGCAGTGTCCGATATTGATGCAGCAGTTAGTGAAACTGATTGACACATAGTCATAATGTTCTTTGGCTGTATAAAAGAGAATCATCAGGTATGACTTTAAATCACTTAAGTACCTGTAAAGCCTTATGTACATAGTTACTGATAAAAGATCTCCTGTGGTATGCCTGTCTTTCAACATTAAAAAATTTGAGGGCCATCTCAATTGATTTCACAATAACTCCATCCTCACGTTCAAACCCCTTTGATACCACCTTTTTATTGAGTATTAGACTGATCCTGTATAAAAGTATATGTACATTTAATGTATTGCCAGTCTTACATTAGTAGCCATCCTATTTGTATGATCATGAATGTATTTTGGTTATGTCTTGTATCCTTCTATCTAACTGAGGTTGTGGACTAGATAGCAACAACAATGCCAGTATCTGCCATGTCTGGTTTAGCTCCTCTTAGAATTGCTTGTTCTTCCTTCAGTGCCTTAACAGTAGATCTAGCTTGCTGATATTCTCTAAATGAAGAACCAGATAAAGCACAGCTCTCACTAGTGTTGAAATTCAGTTGATGACACTTTTCAGTTGATGACACTTTTCTTCAAAAAGGTTGAATAACCTTTGAAAGATTCCAAGAGTGATGTACAATCCTGGTGAGCATACCTACATGTACCATAGTTACTGTAAAATCAAAGGGACCGCCAGGTGGTACATTGACCATGTACACCTAACCGCAGCCAGTTAACGATATTCACTGCAAGATAATGAGATTCATTGGAGTATGTACATCTGTAAT